TGAAAAGTCGTGGGTTCCATGAAATCTTTGATTAAAATTAATTGTAAATTTTGATTTAAATTTTAATCTACTTTTTTAAGCTGAACCAAACCGGACCATATCACTGTGCAATTAATGTACAGTTCTGCACTGCATGGAAGGCAAGCGCAGAGAGAGTGAGAGAGAGAGATGCTATTTGCAGCACTTACTGTTTTCAGAAAAAATTAAAAAGTTTGGTTTGGTATCTGGCATTCGACATATGGTAGCTGCAAGACAGAGGTCTTGAATAGCTTTCTATTTAATACAAAAAAGAAGTTTTTAATTTCTGGCGAGATCTTACAACTGGAATCTTTTGGTTTTGTCTTGTCTTGTTCTTGTGGCAAAGCAATAGGGAAGCTTCCGTAGCTTTCAGATCAGACTATATTATAAGTACTTTATCCACCATAATACCATATAAGGGAGATATAATTTGTTCCCTTTCACTAAAAATGGAAGATGGAAAATTTGGTGGAAATTATTTTCCTCCGATTTTTCTTTTTATTCGCACTATACACGCTCGTTTTGAAGATTACAACCGGCTCAACTAATTTACTTCGATTCAAACGAGTAAAGCTCAATACAAGACAGCTCAATATGCAGGTTCGCTCGCAGAAGAGATTGCTTAGGATATACTTTTAGAATCATAACCTAATTAAACTAATCTATGTTGATGCATGTGACATTTTATTGCTGTAAAAAGTCACTATTACATGAAGTCGCTGCTATGAAAATATTTTTAAATTGCCATTGCGATGAATGAAAACTTATTAAGGGTTGAATTTTTTTTTTCTTATGAACCCATGTATAGATAGATACTCAAGAAAATATAATGGTGCAAAATGTCAAGAATATAAGTGCTTGTTTGAACATAGGATAAAAATTATATATGTGAAAGTTTACAACATTATTTGTTTCTCATAAATAGTTTTTACACAAAATTAATTGACAAAAAGCCGCGTAGAAGACAAATTTCTGACATACTTTTAATGATGTCAGTGAAGTACGAAAAGATCTCAATAAAGAAGAGGACGGTAACAAAACCTTAAAGCAAAGGGAAAAAATGAAAAGCATATGCAACTACCAAGGGACTCAATTAAATGAAAGGAATTGCATCCAACTTTTTCGCAGTGTTTAATCTTTATAATTAAGGCATACACTCACTATACTATGCATACATCCTATTCAATTTTATGATATCTACAAAAAGGGGCGGATTTAGGCGGTCAAAGTGAACTTGACCCCATATATGCAGTGTTCTAGCTCATTGCAGTTTTAGTCATTTCTTATATTTTTTTGATTTGTTAGTGGAAGGTCCCCCTTTTTCCAGTTAATGTGCAGAAGACAAATATGTTATAAACTGTTAGAATTTGGGTATCACCCGAATTCCTTATTGAAGTAATTGAAAAATTTTAATTGAAGTGTACGTCAAAATGAATTCAGTTTTGAATGCTATGAGGGTCTTATTCAAGTTGAAATTATATTTGGAAGTCCTATTGAAAGTTGTAATTTGTATTGAATTTGAAGATGTTGAAATTATGGATCTGAAAAAAAAGTCGCCGCATTTTCTAGAAGACACATAAAAGATGATTTTCTTTTTGTGATTAATATTTCTTATCATATGCAATTGATGCCTTTTCTTATAAATCTTGATATAGATACCTAATGATGCATTTGATTGCAAATATTTTTCATGAAAAATGTGTTTTTTCTACTTAATTTCCTATTTTTGCGCTATTTGATTAACAATTTTTTCCACGAGAAATATTGTTTTTACTTTTGGTCACGTGACCATATTTTTTCTGAAAATAAGGAAAATATTTTCTTCAGGGGGGTATTATTTTTATTTTTCAGGTAATTCACCATCTTTCTCATCCACCCAACAATAAAAAATGGACAAATATAATATTTTTTAGGTTGAAAACTAAATCAATCAAATACATTTAATTAATAATTTCAACGCAAATAAATTTTAAGCAATTGAATTTACTTTCTTTTCATACAAATTCCATA